GGGCGGGGACCAGCCTCCTCCGGCCGGGGTCCCCCCCGCCCTTGGGCCGCGAGTCCCGCGCTGAGAACTCCGTTATCCCGCGAATTTCGGGGGAGCAGTGCGGGGGGGCAGTGCAGGCTGCTAACGCGGAGCCTCCCAAACCGGATGAGAACGCAGGGCCCCCGGGCCCGGGCCGTCTGCGCAGTTTGGGGTGGTAACCGTTTTGGTGTCTCCCCTCGTTTCTTAAAATTCACGTGAGCACCTGGCATCCCCGATGGGCGCGCCGCTGGGTAGGCGGCACCAGGGCTGGGGTCGCTGTGGGCTGGGACAGTGTCCACGCCTTAAGGCTGCTTCTCTTCCCTCGCAGGTGTTCGCGGTGCGATCTGGTGGAGCCACGGGGGTGGTGGTTAAAGGCCCGGATGATCGGAACCCCATCTCCTTCAGGTAACAGTATTAACAAGTGCAGAGTAAGTTTCACATGTACATGGCGTGTTCTGCTTCTCATTCAGGAGGTGGTGGTCACATTTGTCCTCTGCCTCCCGCAAGAGCTCTGAAGCCGCGTGTGCCGACCTGTGCCCGCAGGGAGAGGACCGGACCCGCGGACACTCGGACACCTAGTCCCAGCGACCTGCGTGGAGGGAGGAGTTCCCCTGGATTTGGGAACCCGATCCTCCCCAGCAGGGCACCGCTTCCTGGCACTTGAACTTAGCAAGTCCTTGCGCTGTTGGCGTGCCCGTGTCCTTTCCTGACGGGGACCTGCCTTCCTCCGGTCTTTGCAGAGAGTCTGGAAGGTGGAGGGGCTCCTGGTCAGGGTTTTCCGGTAAAAATGTGTGTTAAGAAAACCAGCTTCGACTGTGCGTAAGGCGACTGGCGGTCCCAGCTTATGCGCGCTGAGCCGGGTCATTATGAAGAGCAGCTCCGTTCACTTCAGATCACAGTGGTGGTGACACCCTGTGAGGATGGTCACCCTAACCCTGTGGTCACAGAAGAAAATACACTGGAGGCCCTCAGTTCAGGGGGGACTTTGAATTTTTTTAGCTGGCCTGTACTACAGGAAACCTTTTTGAAGTAGAAAATGAATCCCGTGGGCAGTGCCCGTGCGAGGCATCAGGCGTGTGAAGGCTTTGGGTCGCCGGGCGCCCTTCTGCAGAACGCAGAGCTGTGTTGTGGAGACAAGTGAGGGGCACACACGTTTCCTGTGCCAAGGGTGTGGGCACAGGAGAGGCAGCATTGATCATGGAGCAGGAGGGGAAGGCCTGAGAGAGGAAGGAGGCGGCCCTTGAGCAAACGTTGAGGGCTGCAACGGACGGTTCTAGGTGGGGAAGAGAGGAGGCGGCTCCCTGATGGAGAGCACCCCACGGGCAAGGGCGAGCGAGCACGGGGTGGGAACTCCAGGTCTGTGTGACTGACGCCCATGTGTCCGTGCAGGAAGGGGAGGCAGAGGTGTGGCCACCGGCAGGGGTCAGCTTGAACCTACGTGTTCCGCTGCGGAATCAGGGCTTTATGTGGTTCCTGAAGCGGTGAGGTGGGCGTGGCATGATCCTGTCAGTGTTTGGAAAGACCACGCTGATCGTAGCCTTGACACTGGATTAGTTGGGAGCCTGTCCATCGGGGGAGAGGATGCCGGGGTCTGGGCCAGCGTGGTGCAGACCACACTGAGGGCAGTGGAGACTGGTATCGCAAAGGCCCTCGGCGTCAAAATAGGAGTGAGCCCATGAGGGCCCAGATTTGGGGGCTCAGTAGTGTTTGAGGGGGAAGATACTGAATTTACCCTCTTTTAAAAACATGGTATTTATTGTTAATAGCCTTACTGTGGTATAATTATTAACTGAACATATTTAACAGTCATTGATGAGTTTTGACGTGTGTGCACCGTGAAACCATCACCATAATCAAGAGAACGAGCACCCGTACCCAGAGCTTCCACAAGCCCTCCGTGAGCCCCTCTTGATTTCCCTTTGTTGGAGGTGGTTGTGAGGCTTCTGGGCGGGGCCTGCTTGAGCCCCCGGGGAGTGGGTCGAACGCTTGGTTCAGAAGCTTTGCTGTCCCAGCGATGGAGAGAGAAGGCCGTCATCTGTGGAGGTGCCTGTGGCATCGGAATACCTCCTCCAGGCCACCGTCCTAGAGCATCAGATACAGTGGGTTGTAATGTGTTTGCTGGTGGAGGTCTTGCCTTCACTTTGTAAAAATGTAACATCTGTGAAGCCTTATACAGTGAAGTGCAACAACACAAGGTATTCCTGCGTGTACCTTGTTTATCCCTGTATTTGTATAAAGTAATTTTCTGGTGAAAGTGCAGGTAATTTCCATTTTCCCGCCGCTCGTTACGCAGCACTGCGAATTTCTCCAGCAGCTTGTTGCTCCTGGATTGTTTTCTGAAAAGAGATACTACTGATAGCATCAGAAACATAAGTTTAATTTTAAACTAAGATTTGCTGCTTCCTGAATATTTAATTTCTTTTCTTCTCACAAATGATAGAAGCTAGACTTCAGTTATTAAATGGAACTCTTAACATACTCGTTCTCCTTACAGAATGGAAGACAAAGGAGAAGTGAAATGCATTAAGTTTTCCTTAGAAAACAAGATACTAGCTGTCCAGAGGACCTCAAAGGCTGTGGTAAGACATCCCTCTAAATATGGCATAAAGGAAGCATTTTTGCATAAAGGAAGCATTTTAGAAGTGTATCTGGAAGAGAATGAATTGCAGACTTTCAGTGTTAAAGGAGCCGCTTGTTATTTTAAAGCCATGAAAGCTGTAACTATGGAGCACTCCTGTATCAACCTTTGGAGTTCTTGAAGAAAGACGTGAATGGATAAATACTGGTGACCTTAGTTTGTCCGTTTTATTTAAAAAACTAATTTGGAACCTCAGGCATCTTTTGTATGGATTAACAGCCAGCATAGATTGCGTGAGGTATAATTTTGGCTACTTTGTGAATTACCCTGTAAACTGGAGTGACTCCATTAAGTCCCTTCTCTTTGAATGCTTGGTCTAATGGGAACAGGTATTCATAGTTGGAGCAGTCTGTTGGCATTTTAGCCTTTATAAATATTCATCATCACATTTGCAAAGTAGAGAAAAAACTGTTGATAAAGAGGCAGCACCCTCATTCCTTCCGTCAGTATGAATTGCTAACATTTTTGGAAAGCCTCGTGTGCAATGTAGAGCAGCACAGTTCTCTGAAATCAGCCATTTGAATTAATTTTCCAAATCGGTTTCTAAACCCTCACTGAATATTTGGGTTAACTTTTTAAAAAATTGAATTGTCAGCCAACTGCTGTTAAGGAGGCAGATTGTTCAAATTGGTCTTTTTATTTTTCCTGTCTTTGGGTTTTTGTTGGTTTTTTTCTAATCACTTTTTAAATGTACTTCTCTTTTTCTTTTGTCTGTTGTGTACTAAAGTAGGTTGCTGCCTGATCCAAATTTATCCTTGTGTTTCTTTCTAGGAGTTTTCTAATTTCATCCCGGATAGTTCTCAGTTAGAATACACTCAAGAGTGCAAGGTACGGGCCGGGTCCTTTCCCCTCTGGTCTGTGTTCGGCTGGGGGGCTGGTAGCTGAGTGCAGACAGGAGGGGACAGTGCTTGTGCTGAGAGGTGCTGCCTGTGGGCTCCGTGACCTGGACAAGCTGTGAGCCTGTTTCTTCATCTGAAGACAGAGTTGGAGGATTACCTGGGTGGTGGGTGGCACTACTCCTGCTGCCCCACCCTCTCTGGGCGACAGACCTGAGCCGCCTCTTTGGAGGTTTGCAGAAGAGGAGGTTTTTCCTTTATTGGTGATGTTTTCTTCCTCGGTCTGACCTTGTCATGCCCCCTTTCTTCTCTGAGGTGTAGATTCTAGCCCATGGTCATCAGACTTGCTGGGTGTAATAAACGAGACTGCAGCAGGCGCAGCTCAGATGGCAGGGTGGCCCCGGAGACTGGCAGGAGTTGCTAGTGCAGCCGTGGGCAAACTACGGCCCGGATCCGGCCCGTTTGAAATGAATAAAACTAAAAAAAAAAAGACCGTACCCTTTTATGTAATGATGTTTACTTTGAATTTATATTAGTTCACACAAACACTCCATCCATGCTTTTGTTCCGGCCCTCCGGTCCCGTTTGAGAACCCATTGTGGCCCTCGAGTCAAAAAGTTTGCCCGCCCCTGTTGGAAGGGGTGGCTCTCGGCATCTCTGTAGTGTGTTTGCTAATGGAGGTGTGGGTAGGCTCCTCAACGAGGAAAGAAACATCGCCAAGTAGCTGCCCCTTCACAGGCGCTCCCGCTCCTGAGCAGCCACGCGCAGGCCCAGCCTGCCTGCCCTCAGGCCCGGGCCCTGGTTCACCAAGGGAGGCGGGCTGTGGCTCCAGCTGCAACCCCACCTGGGTCAACACTCAGTGAGAACCTCTAGGCCTTTATACTTTTACAAGCTGTGTGACCAAGAGAGGTCAGCTGTCCTTTGGTCCTAAAGGGAGGAGCTGAGCACTGAGGGC